TGGCATTCCTGGCTGTGCTCTGTGCATGAGGCAGTGGCTGAGAAGTGGAAGGAACTGGCCATCTTGGCCTGAGTCATGGACCTTCATGAGAAGTTAAAGTAGCGTAGCAGCCTGGAACACCTGTTGCGTGCCTGAATAGACAAGACCTTGTCCATGTCTGAGTTAATCTTCTCCAAAGCTTTGTGAGATAGCTGCAAATTTTTATCCTCATTTTGCAAGTGGCAAGTTAGTCACATCGTTCAGAGCCAGGCAGGGTGTGGGGAGGAGAGGTAAGTGAAGACTGGGACTGTTCCCCGGGGACCCTCAGGGCAGGCGGGACAGTCCATCTGAGCAGAGTGCGGAGGCGATGTGCTAGTCTGGGAAGTGCCTTGTGCCAGGGTCTGAAGGATGGTTGGAATTTCCCAGGTGGAGGAGGCAACTGTAGTCACCAAGGCCCTAAGGGAAAAAGTACTTCACAAGAGGAGGATATGGGTAATCAGGACAAAAATCCACCCCAAAGGCTGTGGGCTATTTTAACTAATCATGTCTTTTCTATATTTTATGAAGCTTTGACATATGGAGGTCTTGCTGGCTGGGGAGAGGCTGCCCTTCCCAGGGCTAGTTAACTCCTAGAGACAGCAGCCAGCATGCCTGCAGGTATGCCTTTCACATACAAACCAACCACTCCAAAGCCCGTACCCCCAGCCACCCCCTTTATCTAAAGTACACGCACCAAGACAACATTTCCCCTCTTCCCCGAATCGGACAACTAGACCATCCCTGTGGCCCAGAGGCCACTGAAATTATTCAAACTCGCCCATTCTAAACTCTCTCAAACCTGCCTACTCTACCTCACCCATTCCTTTCCAGGCCCTGCTCTCTCCTACACTCCTTCCGTCTCCTGACCGACCCTCGTACTTCCCCACGTGGCCCTGCATGGTGTGGCATATCCCCCTCCTCTCAGGAACTGCATATAAGAAAACTTCTTTCAGTAGCATTGACCTCTCTGTGTCATCACTCAGTGACCCTCTATAAATTAAACTCAGATGCATTCAAAACATGAGCCGTGAGTGTTAGCTTCAGAGAATGGAGGCAGCCGGACCATCGAGTCTAACTACAGTAAAGAGGGGACAGTTTGCCCGCCTGTTCCCCTTCTTCTGGTAGAAACAGTACCCATTACTCCGTTGGGTACACTTTGAGTCTTTTCTGAAATGTAGTTTTTCACTTTCCCTTCTTTTCGGTGCTACCTCAGACAGTTTCTATTTTTTTCTGCATAAATTAAGCAGCATCTCCCTGGTAGGCTGCCCTGTGTATGGCCCAGAGGGTTTCACTTACTGTATGAGTTCCCTATTGCTGCTGTAACAAGTGGCCATGAACTTGGCATCTGAAAACAAAACAAATGTATTATCTTATAGTTCTAGAGGTCAGAAGTCTGAAATCAAGGCGTCTACAAGGTGCTTCCTCTGGAGGCTCTAGGGGAGAAGACATTTCCTTGCCTTTCTAGCTTCTGGAAGCCACCTACATTCATTGGGTAGGAGCCCCTTCCTCCATCCTCAAAACCAGGAGGGTCACAGGCTCAAATATCTCTCTGACCTTGACCCTCCTGCCTCCCTCTAGGACTCTTGCCATTCCCTTGGGCCCGCCTGGAAAATCCAGGTTAATTTTTCCAGCTCCAGATCCTTAACTTCATCACCTCTGCAAAGTCTCTTTTGCAATGTAATACATTCCCAGGTTTCAGGGATTAGAATGTGGACGTTTGGGGGCCATTATTCTGACTACCACACTTCCCAGATGGAGGCCCCAGGACTAATCACTGGTAGGGCCAGGAATGGAGTCTGAGGCTCTGGACCCTGAGACGCTTGTCCTTATTGCTCTGCCACAGTGACGTCTCCACGTGGGACTGGCCGCTTAGTAAAGCGGTGACTTGCATCTGCCCACAAAGCTGGAGGAGTGAAAGGATCACGCAGAGAAGGGAGGGCAGTGTCATCCCGGCTCTGCGGTGACTCACCCAGGAAGTGGGGCGCTGCATTTAGCTCTGCCGTGGTTGCTTTCTTCAAAGGGGATTAAGACCTTTCTTCCAGAGATGCTTGGGGATTTGCATTGATAGAAAACACCTTGTTATTTTTTTTTTTCAGAGGAAAAATCCCTTAAGAAGTAAAGTAATCATATAATTATCTATATTTAAGCTCTCTGACTGTAACCCCACGTCGGTCCTATTTTTCAACAGGCATTTGCTGGCCACTTGCAATAGGCTTGTCCTGGTGCTGGCTCTTCTAACCACAGCCACCCTGCGAGGAAAACCATGTCATTTGTTTTTTACATATGGAGAAACCGAGACACTGAGAGTGAGAGACGCTAATCATTTGACCAGAGTCAACAACTAGGGGGTGACAAAACTCGGATTTAAACATCAGGTTCAGCACTGCTGTGCACCTGGCCCTTCATAGTGACTTGCTGTGAAGCCCCAGGAAGTTCAGGCACAAAGTGGGGTCTGCATAGAAAAAGGCAGGAATGGAAACTTTGAAACATTCCAGTTCCTTCGTAAAAAGGGGAGCCTTGCTGAGTCCCGAGAGCTTTTGCATCCTCTTCTGAAATGACTTTGCTAGATGACCGCTGTCAGGGTCCAGGTAACCCCCACACCTCTGGGAAGCCTTCCAGGCCTACGAGGCAGGACATGGTATAGCAGGCCCTTAGCAAATCTTGCTTCTCCTTCCTCCCACCTCATTTTTGTCATTACCACTTTCTAGCACCTAAGTGCCCTGCATTTCCAAGTGAGGCACCGTGGCATTGTATTTATGCAGATTTTTGTAACTTTTAAAGTTTGATGTTGTCTGTGAGTAAGAACATGTATCCTTTTTTCCCTTATGGGGATTAGGACTCAGAAAGTAGAGGAGAGCTACATGAAGCTGTAAGAAAGCTGGATAACTGACGATCCTGGGGCCATGTGGATGCACAGAGTAGACTCAGATCTTTTCTTTGTGCCCAATGAGAGGAGCCTAGAGACCAGAAGCCTCCCTCCCGGCACATCACACTGAGCTCCAAGCCCCTGAGCTTGAGGAGGTCAGGCTGGTAGTCCATAAGTATGCTTCAGAGACCGTGTGATCAAGGACTGTAATCAACAAGTCTACTTTGGCTCAGGGTTTCCTCTCCATGTCAGATGCACCTGGGAGGGATGCTGGAGGGATGAGAGAAGGGGGTGTGCAGGTCCCCCCCTCCCCCAAATAATGCAGGATAATATTCCTATCTCAAGATCTTTATTTAATCACCTCTGCAGAATCCCTTTTGCCATATAAGGTGGCAATCATAGGTTCCGGGGATTGGGACAGGGACAGCCCTGGGTTGAGGTGGCCATGTCAGTGAAGCTGGACTGGCGGGACTTGCCTCTTTGCCTAAACCAGTGGTTCTACATCTGGGATCCAGGGCCCCTGGTGTCCATGATGTAGACTTCAGGGAAACCTGGCATTTGTGAAGTGTGAGGGGAAGGGCAAACATGGGCTTAAGGATCTGTTTTTCTTGGTAGCAGAGTCTCTTGAGGAAGGAGGAGTTTTTCCTGTAGAAGTTCAGGGTGGCCCCCTGTTGGCCTGGGTAGGCCTGGGCCTCTCCATTAGATTTAGCAAAAAGTCTAAGCACTTGCAGAAGTTGAAAGCTAATTTGCAGGCTCAAATGTTACCTGTCCAGGACATGTCGTACCTCTTTGACCCAACAGATGGCCCTCTGCTGCACCTGGCGAGCATCCCACACCTGGCTGGGTGTACGCGCTCCACACGCTCCAGCTTCTGGTCTGTCCCCCGCCAGCTCCAGGCTCTGCATTCTGAGCTTCAAATCACTGTCGGTCTTTAGACCACTTTTAAGGAGATGCTTGGAAACTTCTGGAAAAGACAGAATACAGGATCACCTATCAAAACCCTAGTGGCCAGCTTTCCCTAAGCACTGGATCAGTTGTCCAACTTTGTGTGCCAGGTCCACCCCTCAGCTGGCCCACCGGTGTCATCGAGAGATACATACATGCCAAGTAGTGCTGCACTGTGCGCTGGTGAAATGTGAGTGTCAGGGAGGGCATCGCTTCCTTGAACGGGCCTTAGGACAAGGAAAAACTTGCATATGGAGGTCAGTCTTTGTGTCATCCCTCTTCAGTTGGCACAAGTCAGCTGCAACAAGCAGAGTCAGGCAATGCCTCTCCTCCTGAGGCTGGACACCTGCCGGGCTCCTGGGGACACAGTTATATCAGTCAGGGGAGTTGAGGTTGAGCTGTATTATTTTAGGGTGGCTTTTAATTCAGTTTAATCAGAATCACTCATAAATTATCAATTAATTACTATCTGCTGTTCATTTCAATCCTCTCAGCCACAGAGCTAGCTTGCTCTGCGACGAATGCCATCGCCGTAATTGCAGGGTGCTCTGTCAACATTTAATCAGCAGTACTTATTAAGGCGACACTGATGTGTGGTCGCCACCCCAGCACTATCCATCAGGCCTGAGCAGCCAGCGCGGGCTCGGACACCATTGCTCTCTGTCACATTATCCAGCCCCCGAGCTTTCGGCCAGGCAGGATGCTCACTTTTCACTAAATGGATACTCTGTCTCTCCAGTTCTACCCAATTTTTGTCATTGTCTACTTAAACACTCACAGCCTTCGGAGATTCTGTCTGGAATGTCCGGGCTAAGCATTATCAGTTCTCACAGGCCTGTGTCTCTCCTCCATCAGTGTTTTTGCACCCCGCCAATGACTGTGAAATTCCAGAACTGGACCTCCTGGAGTGCTGTGTGTGTGTGTGTGTGTGTGTGTGTGTGTGTGTGAGAGAGAGAGAGAGAGAGAGAGAGAGAGAGAGAGAGAGAGAGAGAGAGAGAGAATGAATTTTTAGTTCTTAAATACAGTGAATGACCCAGAGAAAGCAGTTTGGTTTTTTATTTTTTGGCTTAGTGAGTATTCCTGGAGATGAATCTGTTGTTTAAAGCTCTACTAGTACAAGCATGTCTTGTATTAGGAAGGGAGATCTCACTGTTTCTCTCTTTCTTTTCAGTCTCTACGGCAGACACATGCAGGCAAATCCAGAACCACCGAAGAAAAATAATGACAAATCGAAAAAGATCAGCCGGAAACCCCTGACAGCCAAGAATAAGTAAGGGGTTTGCATGACCTGGACTTCTGGTCTCTTTTTTCATTATTGCTTCTGTTCTCTCTTGCTCTGTCCCACAAACAAATACAGTTAACCCCTGAACAACACTGGTTTGAACTGAATGGGTCCACTTATTCATGGAATTTCTTCCATAAATACTGTAAATGTATTTTTTCTTCCTTATGATTTTTCTTAATGAGACTTTTCCTCTAACTTTATTATAACAATACAGTATGTAATACATATAACATATAGAATATGTGTTAAACTGTTTATGTGATTGGTAAGGCTTCTGGTCAAAAGTAGGCTATTAGTATTAAATTTGGGGCGAGTCAAAAGTTATATGTGGCCCTAGCCCTGTGGCTGGCAAACTGTGGCTCACGAGCCCCTTAAGTGTGGCTCTTCCTAAGCCTTAGGAGTACCCTAATTAAGTTAATAACAGCGTACCTACCTATATAGTAGCGTACCTACCTATATAGTTTAAGTTTAAAAAATGTGGCTCTCAAAAGAAATTTCAATCGTTGTACTGTTAATATTTGGCTCTGTTGACTAATGAGTTTGCCGACCACTGCCCTAGCCGATTTGGCTCAGTGGCTAGAGCGTCAGCCTTTGGACTGAAGGGCCCTGGGTTCGATTCCAGCCAAGGGGACATACCTCTGTTGCAGGCTCGATCCCCAGCCCTGGTCGGGGTGTGTGCGAGAGTTAGTGTGTCTCTCTCACATCGATGTTTCTCTCTCTCTGTCTCCCCTTCCCTTCCACTCTCTCTAAAAATCAATGGAAAAATAGCTTCAGGTGAGGATGAACAACAACAGAAGTTATATGTGGATTTTCAGCTGTGTGGGGGTTGCGAGGGGTTGGCACTTTTCTTCCTAGTGTTCACCACCTTACCTTTTAATTTCTTTTGGTAGGTGGTAGATTTTTATAAGTTCTTAAAACCATTTCCATTTGTTTCCTTAAAATTACCAAAGGCAGGAAACAAAGCTCTAATTCAACTGCAAATTTCATAGTAGGCACAGGTTTCAGTTCCTTGAATAGATGTTCACAAAGCTGCTTGTTATCCAAAGAATAATTAAATCATGTAATCATTTAATGTCACAGTTAACACTGTTCACTCTTCTGTTTATTCACATAACTCATTCTTTCGCGTTATTAAAAATGTCCCTGCACCACTGAGATATTATGTTAACTTAACTTACAAATGATTTTAATAAAATCTTGAATTTGTATCATGTGTTGCTTCTTGAATAAAGAACAATCTGCTCTTATGTGTATACACATTTTTTACTTTTTCCTGCAAATTTTCTTGTCCACTTTTATTGGTTATAGATAATAAACTCTGAAACTTTCCATGAAAAAATGCAAAATTAGAGCCAGTTTCTTCTCATATTGACTTGTCAGTTGTTTTGTTTTTTTCTTTGAAGACTGTTGCTAATTTAGGAAGGAGCAGAAAAACAGATCTCGGGGAGATTCTGCCAAGGGATTTTGGAAAGGAGAATTTCTTAGCTGAAGAAATGGTGACAAATGGTGACTTCTGCCCATGGCTGGCAGTCAAGAGCTGTGAAATGGAGAGAGAAAAAAGCTCAAGTATGTTTCTTGTCACTGCAAAAAATCCACTCGTATCAAAGCATTCTTCTAAGGGGATTTAGTGATGCCAAAGAAGTGTAAATGTGCACACTCTACCCCACACCCGTGTAGAAACGGCACTTGCAGAGTCATCCAGCACTGATTGTTTAACAGCTGTGACAGGCAGCTTTGTTCTTATCAACAGTAACACGTGTGTAAGTGAAAATACATCCAAGCAGAATTTTTGTGCTAAGAGGGCTGCCAACACCGGAATGCCTGGAAACAAAAGGTGTGTGAAGATGTAACGTACTCGAGAATGGTAGTGGATCTACACCAGCATCATCTCCTTTCACAGTTGAATCCCCAAGGCCAGGACCACTGGAACATGTAAAAAGCCAAACTCAAAATACAACAAAAAATCCTGTTACTTAGGAAATGTATGAATGTGAGAGGCCACCAATCAAGATCTTATTTCTGGATCAGTCCCTGGTAGAACATTGGCTGTGGGAAGAGGAGTCCCCAGTTGCCACCACCTGTTTGGGAGTAGAGTTGATGTGATTTTTCTAGGTGCAGTCTTTGCCTCAGCCTAATTTTTTTAATTGTTTTTTTTTGCTCATGAAATTGTAAGAGGAAGAGCAGCGCTTCACTTGTTGATTGGAAAGACATCTAAAATTAAACTAACAACAAAGCAAAATAAAATATATGATAATTAGTTTAATGTAATGTTTAATTAAAATATCAGTATACTCATGAATAATTTTTTAAAAGATAAGCACTCTAGGTAGAAATATGGGTAATACACATAAGTCTACATGGAGGAAATATCTCCAAAATATGTGCAAAAAAAGTCCAGACTTACTAGTAATAAAAAAATATAAATCAAGCAATCTGTAACAATGGAATATATACAATCATTTTTAAGATAGTATTAAGTGCTAGAGGAATAATATGAGATAGACATTAAGAGTTTACAATATTTTTTTCTATCTGATTCAATTTTCTAGTGTAAATTCCTTTTTTAAAATTCCCATCCCCTATTCTCGCCCCCTTGGCATCCATCAATCAGCCTGTTCTATATATCTGTGGGTCTGTTTAGTTTTGTTTATTCATTTATTTTGTTAATTTATTTTTAGATTTGACTTATAAGTGGAATAATACAAATTTTTTTCTCTCTCTGACTTATTTCACTTAGCATAATACCCTCTAGGTCCATCCATGTTGTTACAAATGGCAAAATTTCATTCTTTTTATCTATACTAATAAAAGGGTGATATGCTAATTAGACCGGGTTGAGTGGACATATTCTGGTCGTCCGGTCTTCCTTCTGGACTAAGCCACGGTGGAGGGGGCCGAGGCAGAGGCGATTAGGGGCGATCAGGCTGGCAGGGGAGGGTGGTTAGGGGCGATCAGGCCGGCAGACAGAGGGGTTAGGGGCTAGCAGGCAGGCAGACAGAGGCGGGTAGGGGCGATCAGGCAGGCAGGCAGAGGCAGTTAGGGGCAATCAGGCAGGCAGGCAGGTGAGTGGTTAGAAGCCAGTGGTCCTGGATTGCAAGAAGGATGTCCCGGATTGGAGAGGGTGCAGGCCAGGCTGAGGGACCCGCCCCCCTCCCCGTGCACAAATTTTATACACTAGGCCTCTAGTTGCTGTATAATATTCCATTGTAAATTTATACCACATTTTTATTTATCTGTTGATCTAGTTTGCTTTCATCTCTTGGCTATTTTGTAAATGATGTTGCAATGAACATAGAGATGCAGATATCTTTTTGAATTAGTGTTTTTGTTTTCTTTGGATAAATGCCCAGAAGTGGAATTGGTAGATCGTATAGCAGCTGTATTTTTAAATTTTTGAGGATCCTTCATACTGCTTTCCATAGTGGCTGTACCAATTTACAATTCCACCAACAGTGTATAAAGATTCCCTTCACATCCTTGTCAGTACTTTTTTAAAATATATTTTTTATTGCTGATAGTATTATAGATATCTCCCATTTCCCCCTCCTCCTCCCAGGCCATACTCATCTCCTCAGGTCTTCACTAACCTATTGCCTGTATCCATGGGCTATACATCTAAGTGTATAAGTTCTTTGGTTTATCTCTTCTTGTCCCTTGTCAGCACTTTTTATTTGATTTATTGATGATAACCATTCTGATAGGTGTAATTTGATAGCTCATTGTGGTTCCAGTTTGCATTTCCATGATGATTAGTGATGTTGAGCATCTTTTATATAAGTCTTTTAGCCATCTATATGTCCTCTTCAGAGAAATGTCTATTCAGGTCCTCTGTCCATTTATAATCAGATTATTTTGGTGTTAAGCTGTATGAGTTTCTTATGTATTTTGTATGTTAACCTTTTATCAGATGTATCATTTGCAAATATCTTCTCCCATTCAGTAGGTTGTCTTTTCATTTTGTTGATGGATTCCTTTGCTGTGCAACTTTTTTTAGTTTGATGTAGTCCCATTTGTTTATTTTTTTTCTTGTGTTTCTCTTGCCCAAGGAGATATATCCAAAAAGACATTACTAAAATCAATGTCAAAGAATTTACAGCCTATGTTTTTGGATAGTAGTTTTATGGTTTTGGGTCTTAATTTAAGTCTCTAATCCATTTTGGGGGGGTATATTTTTGTGTAAGAAAGTGGTCCAATTTCATTTTCTTGCGTACTTGTCTAGTTTTGCCAACACAAATTGAAGAGACAGCCTTTACCCCATGGTGTATCCTTACCTCCTTTGTCATAGACTAATTGACATAAAGTGAGGATTTATTTCTGGGTTCTTCATTCTATTTCGTGTGTGTGTGTGTGTGTGTGTGTGTATGCCAGTACCATACTCTAGCTTTGTAGTGTAGTTTGATATCAGGGAGCATGCTACCTTCAACTTTATTCTTTCTCAATATTTCTTTGGCTATCCAGGGTCTTTGGGGTTCTATATGAATTTTAGGATTTGTTCTAAATCTAAGAAGAATGCTATTGGTATCTTAGAGATTGCATTGAATCTGTATGTTATTTTAGGTATAGACATCGTACCTTTATTAATTCTAATCTATGAACATTTATTTGTATCTTGTTTAGTTTCTTTCTTTGGTGTCTTTTATTTTTCAATCTATCAACTTTTTAGTTAAATTCATTCTAGGTATTCTTTTTGATGAGTTGTGAATGGAATTGTTTTCTTAATTTTTCTTCTTCTGATCACTATTGGTGTATAGAAAAGCAACAGCATTCTGTACATTGAGTCTGTATATTGCAACTTTACTGAAGTCATATATTAGTTCTAATAGTTTTTTGGTGGAGTATTTGGGGTTTTCTAGATATAGTATTATGTCACCTGCAAATAATGGAAGTTTTACTTCTTTTTTTCCAGTTTGGATGCCTTTTATTTCTTTGTCTCGTATGATTGCTGTGGCTAGGACTTCCAATACTATGCTGAATAGAAGTGGTGATAGTGGGCATCCTTGTCTTGTAATACGTAGCAAAAATTTAGAATTTTTATTTCTAGGAACTTGTCTTGAGGAAATTATCAGAGATGCACATACAGAGCTATGTT